ATAGCTCTCCATAAAATATAATGAGAAAAAAAGAAAAAGAAAAAAGTGTAGATTGTGACTCGTGACCATATACCAAGCGATTTAATGAATCAATCAATCAACAAATATAAATGTGGAGACCCCAATAGAGTAAATATTTTTGGACAGACTAATCATTAGAAAATCAAATTAAATTTTTTTTTTTTTGGGTCACTATCAGTTGATGATATCTGAGTATTTCACTCAAGCTTTATTTCTAATAACTCAGTTATGTGAGGTAAAATGCAATTGATGTTATTCAAAAGAGGTAAAAGTCATCCCTCAAGTGATAAGTAAAAGAAACTTCCAAAGAATATTTCTATAGGATTTGATTTTTCCTTATACAAACACTACCCAAAAAATAAATAATAAAAAATATACTTAGCGCTATGCCTAATATTATTATTCTAATTACACATTATTTAAAAGGGGCAAGAAAAAAAATGAAGAATAAATTAGTGAATAGTGATGGACCAGTCAGTGGGGGCCCATAAAAGAAATACCTGACAATGGGCCCAGTGGCCTTCTACTGGGCCTGCAGCGTCCAATCAAACTTTTTTCTGCTACGTCGCTTTCTCTTCGTAATGTGTTTTGACCTAAAAGTGGAAAGCTTGCATGCTTGATTGATATGACTTAATGATCACCGACAAACACGCCCTTAACGTTATCCTTTGTTCTTGCGTGTCAACACCTTATTTGCTCACTCCTTACTATTCTCCTAATCCATTCATTTACTATCTCCACTCTAGGCTCTGTTTGCTTTATCCTTTTTGTCAAAAACCCACTTGCTTTGTTCAGTTATAGAACGATGAAGTTTCGTAGGGCCTTTCTATCCAAATGCTAATGCAAATAGTTTGTATCTTTACGGATATGCTTATTTTACCAAGTGTCTCTCCGGACAATGCCCAGATTTGCAACTCAATTCACTCGGGGGCGAAGCTCTGATTTTTAAATTGACGACACTATGGAAATGTACACCATTTAGAGCCTGTTTGGGAGTGATTTTGAGAATTGATTTTTTTATCGTTAAGAGAAAAGTCGAGTCCACCTGTGAGAGAAAAAATCAAATACGACAGTCGGAATAGTGAAATAACGGTCAAAAAGTCAATTTTTTGGAGAGAAAAATCGCTCCTAAAAAGACTGTTAAAGCATTTGTCGACATAAGAGCATCTTGAAGGGAGAGTGATATCTGAAGAAAATAACAAAACTAATTATTTATTTTAACATGTTTTTTGAGAAAACGAAAACCTAATGAATTTTGAATTAATCGTATATAAAATATGCAAATGGAACTAAAGGTGCATTCGATTGCGAGTATGGAATGAAATTAAGTAAATGTGTTTGATTGATTTAATTTTCAATATACAAATATTGTACTTATCCATTTTTTATTGATGGATAGATAAGAGAAATGATAGATGAGAGGGAGAAAGAGAGAGTTAATTAATGGAAAAAAACATTAACTTAAATCTAAAAATATTAAATTAAAAAAAAATCCCCCCCCAAAAAAAAAAAAAAAGGTTTCTTTTGTTTTAGGAAAGTATAGTCAAATAATCAAAAAATTTCATCAAAAAAAGTATCAATTAAACACTCAAAAAGTAAGAATTCAGAAGAAAAATTACATTTTTTATGAAGATAAAAGTCAATCAAACGCACTTTAAATGTTGAGATTGAAAAGTTATTTTTAAAGATTGAGGAATAATTGCACAATTAAAAAAAATGTAAAAAGAAAAATATAACGTGACAGATAGAATGTGAACCCAAAAATGATTGTTCAACACTCGGCCACAAGACAATAGTTGTATTATTGTGAAGTTACCTATTATATTATTCTGGGGGTAAAATTATAAACTTTAAATTTTTCTTTATACAAAATGGAATTTCTAAATTCATAGATTATACATTTTCTAAAAATTCACTATTACAAAAACTCATTTTATTGAAATAATAAGCATCAAACAGGGACTTAATCAAGAACACAACAAAACAATCTAATATGTCCTGAAGAGATGGAAATTACGAAGACCAACTACATCAACCAATGACTTGTCAATGAATTATATGACATATTTGATATGTTCGATTCTTTAAACATCCATAAACATCCATTATTTAATGTATCGTAATGTCGCCGGCTCAGTATTATCAACTGAATTCAACAACCAAGTTGTATTGTAAATTTTTAACATAGTTCGGATTTAAAAGTCACAAGCTTATGTCTATATTCATAGGTACTAACTATTTCATTAAATTTTTACTTTTTAGAATTAAATAATTAATAAAAATGATCAAAAGCAATGTTATAATTAACCTAATCCTCAGGAAAAGTCTAGATTAATGCAATTATATCTAATAATTGCCATCAAATAGTCTAATTCACATGTTAAAATTTAATCAAATTAAAAGCAAGCATTATTCACAAGACAATTACATGATAACAACAATGTCGTTACAATTTAGAAAGGGAATCTTTTTTTTTTTTTTTTTTTACAAGGTGTCCTATTCTAGACTAATCCTTGGGTTTGTAATCCGGCCCCTCTTCACACAGTCCGGTTAATCGCAGGATTTGCCTCCAACTGGCCAGGGTCCGAGCGCTCCCCACCTGGTCTGACAAAGTGCCAAGCAAGCCAATCCAAGTTGCACCTTGCCTTCCAAGAATAATCCTTGCCTTCCAAGAATAAATCCTTGCCTTCCAAGAAAGGGAATTTAATACTAGAAGTGGAGTCGAATTAATCATCACAAATTCCATAAAAAAATGGTCCTATCATGTGATTTTTGTCAATATGTGTAGGCATGCGCCATCTTAGTTTTAGAATACTTATCAAAACTGACTTGTTAACTTTTATTATTCATTGAATTTGAAAAAGAAAAAAGTTGAGTTTGGATTTGCTTTTAATTTGATTTCTAAATTCGTCTCACTACGATCCAGCTGTTAATCACGAAGAGTCACCAACCAAACATACAACCCACAACAACAAAAAGAAAAAAAGAAAAAAAAAAAAAAAAACACAACCAGGAAGTCTCTTCTTCCTCTGCACCTTGAGTCTTCCTCTGAAGAAGAAAAAAGGCTCGAAAACAGGATCGGCAAATAAGTTAATCAAATTACAAGAGCTCAACTAGTATTAACTTGTCAAAAATTAGGTACACTTTTTACACTGGAAACAATGAAATAAAAAAATACGTCATGAGGTAGCTGACTATTCCGGTAACACCCCGTCTTTCTTTCTTTCTTTCTTTCTTTTTTTATCCCTTTCAAAATTTACAGAAATCTGCTATGAAGTTTGAAGTCCTGTTGAATTCAGTCCTACCATCAGTTCTCAGTGTTATATATGTATCACCAACACTGAAAAGTTTATAAGTTAGGTTAAGTAGAATTGCAGATTCTAAGAATGTGTATTGTGTGTATGCAAGGGTTGAATCCTAGGTGGGAGTGTCGGATAAGACATGAGTGCAAATATGTGCAGTTTTATGGTTGTGAAATAAACAAGTTCTTGCATCTATTACAAGTTTTCTGTCTGTCACACTTCTTTACTTGCAGTTTTCTCACTTCACAGAAGAACTTTGGACAATGGGACCTGATGGACCAGGAGGACCAGGGCGTGGCTGGGGTCGTGGACCTGTGGTACCGGGTTTTTTCCTGGTCCAGGTGGGTTCATTGGTGGGTGTTTCAATTGAATACGCTTGGTGATTTCTTCTTGGTAAGTAGACCCTCGACTACAATGTTATCATATCTATGGCAATACCCTTAGCAAGAATGCAGCCATCTTGTGCACTTTTTTGTACTTCTACAACGTTACGTCGATGTTCCTTTTTTTTTTTTTTTTTTTTTTTTTTTTTTTGAACTGATTGAAATTTTACACTATGCAGCTTATCTTATCTCTGCCGCTGTTGGTTGCTACAAGACTGTTTTGGCGGGCCTCGACCTTTTCGCACTCCTCCCTTCCAATGGAAATTCAGATACACTTCCTGCATTTACAGCTGTGTAATAAATCTGTATACTTCAATCAACAAAAGAATTTGACTCGTGTTCTGATATCCATATTGCATTGTATGGCTAGCTTTTGTCATTTCTGCATTTTAGACTCATTCTCAATCCATTCCATACGCGAGACAAGAAATGAATAACTGAGAAAATCATTAAAACCTCGTGCAAAAACTCTGGATTATATTAGCAAAGTACAGCATGGCCTAAATTCCTAATAAATAATTGCTCACAATGCACAGCTAGGGCACGTCTAGCATGGCTTTATTGACTATTGGAATAATTTTCTGAAAGTTTTTTTGTCTAATTCGCTGGCCTAAGGTCGCTTTCTTGAAAAACTCTTTTGCAAAAACCATAAGTTATCCCAAACTAAGCCCTACTACGCACAGAGATAGAGAACACACAAACGAACGTGCCACCTAGGAGAAGTCGTCTTGGTATTGGATCCTCTCTTCTGTTGTCATTCGAAGGAAAAAAACATATAGCCGCTACTCCAAGCAAATCTTCTACGCCATATCAGGGCTATGGGATTCTACAGCAAAAGATGCTTTTCAAAGTCCGTCATCATGAAGCCACTAAACAACACGAAAAAAAACGCATGCAAAAGCCATTAAACTCATGATATGGCACCTTCAAAAAATCGCCCCGTGCCCTTGACAGATTCAACTAAGAAGTCAGAACCTAACATCAGAAACATTTTGAGGAATACAATGCTCCTCACAAGACATTATTAGTTTTGTAATTCACAATGAAGGCCTAAAGTCATCTGATAAACGTTATTAGTCGATAAGTGTTGAGGACCATCAAACGTCATAGATCTGGTTCAGCATTATACTTTTAAGGTATGTTTGGTACGACGGATTCAACAGCACTAAACAATGTTAATGAAAGAAAAATCTTGTTCATTGTAGTGCCCAATCCTATCTTATATTGCATACCAAACATACTCTCGTGGTGTTACTTCCAATGAAACGATGAATGAATGAGAAATCGACCACATATGGAAAGATTACAATTCATCACATAAGATCCTTCTTAACTCAAGTAATTTGTCAATGCATTTTAGTAGCACCAAGAAGTTGTTACTCTTGTAATTTGTCAATCTGCAAGGTATTCTCATAAACTTTACCATGAAACATAAAAAATTGTGAACAATTAACTTAGTTTTCGTTAGCGAACCACTGCACCCTCAGAATTGGAACAATAAATTTGAGTAAATTTTGTTAGTTTCAATGTCTAAACACGACATGATCTTAATACGGCATAATTTAGTCAGCATAGCACCCGACGTCATTCACAAGCAGCTCTGGTGTTAAAACTGCTGAGACAAATGGCAAATGCCTGGAAAGTGGACATTGGGTACTGATAATCCATTGTGAAAACGTCCTTTCCCACTTTTCCAAATTGGAGAATAACATCCTCGTGCTCTTTCCCACTGGCTCCATTCTCAACAGAAGCAACCAGCTGGAAGTTTTGCACAGAAAAGACCGTTACACGTCCATTGAAGTTGAGACACCAGCACTGAAGTTGTTCGTGCCATCTAGGATTCTTGTTTTTCAAAATTAGCACCTCAACTTTCAATGTCGATAATCCAGATCGAAAACTATCTGCGGAAGTTGATTTTGATCTGAAAAATGGAATAGACAGAAAAGAATCTAGGTAGCCAAGCGGGAAATCAGTTTGTACAGGAACCATGCCTCCGGTTTCAATAGCAGAACCAGGTATAGTATCCATGATGCACTGCATTCGCCTTGGACCCCAATACCCACGTTACGTTAGCAAGGAAAAGTAACCAAACAAGGTGATGAAGACATCTACTTTTTATTTATTTTTAGTTGAATTTTATTTATGTTTTAAGATTCTTATTTATGTAATTGAGCTTATATTGGCCCAAACCTATTTAGGTAGGGTTTTGTTTTGACTATTTAAACCTAATTTGTCATGTAATTTCATTGGTTTTGGATGAATATGAATTATTGAGATTGGTTGTGGCGCCTCCTTCTTCTCCCTTTCCCTTCCCCCTAAATTTCTGCTTCTTCTCCGATTTCTTCTCCCATTCTCTCCGATTTCTCTCCCCCTCTTTTGCTGCCCTCTTCTTTGTCCTGCATCAAATTTGATATCAGAGTCGAAACATGGGTAATTTTTTACCTACAATCCAAAACTTTTTCATAACCCTTACCCAAAAAACTGTACAACAGTACAAACAAAGGAATTTGTAGTGAGGTAGCAGTCTTCTTTTATTTCAATTTTCTTTCTTAGTTGAAAAAAAAAAACTTCGTTACTGTTCACGGGATACTGTTCACACCCGGAATTTCCTTTTTTTAATATTTCTGCAGTTTCCAACAAAAAAAAAGAGAGGGAAAAAATTCGTTACAGATTTGCTGCAATTTTAGTTCCATTGTACTGTTCGCCCTTGCTACATTTTCATCACACGTTGGCACCATCTAACACCTACAACAAACCCTAGCCCACCCCCACAATCCCAATTCCACGCCCAACCCAAATTCCACCAAATTCATTTATCCAACTACCCAACTTCATTACCACTTAGCCCAACTCAACCTAGCCCAGCACCTCCAAAGCCCATTATCCTTTCATAATCCCCAAGACCCAAACTCAACCTACTGATTTAAGCCGCAATTTACTTAGCCCAATTAATTCAATCCAGACCCGAAATTCTTTCATCTTCTTCGAGCCCAAATTCATAAACAATCACTACAAATCCGTTTACTTCATCTTCTCTAACCTCACCACTGCAAACCCATTGACTCGCTTGACCATCTCCATCGCCGACTCGTTCTACCTCCATAACCATTCTCCACCCCATTGTGTTCCTTAACCGCAAGCTCCACACATTCACCACATACTAAATTTGCACCCAATTTATATCTCGCACATCAATAGCTCTCACCCCACACTCAGTTTCTACATATCAACATCGGTCCCGTGTTTGCGGGCAACTCAACCTGACAGTAACCACCCAATTGTAGAGTCAATTCAGTTGCACAACACAAAATTGAGTTGTTCTCCTACCTCCATTGGACATTTCCATACTGATTAGAGGCACATCCTGTTTGGCCAGTAATCTTTTCATGCACTCAGTTGATCAAAGATTATTCCATCACACCATTCCACGACTTGCCAACGTGAGGATCACAATTGGGCACAGTCTTGATTCCTTAGGTCTCAGAGTACATCACCATCAAGTTCATGCTCTGTGGGCACTGCCACCACAACGACACAACAGGGAGTCCTTGAACCCTTTTTATTATTGGTTTATACTCCTGCTTCATTTTTAAAAATTGCATCAATTAAAATCTTTGTGCTGTTGTTACGTCATAGATTTTATCTTTACACCACTTGATTGGAATTGTTGACTGAATAACGTACCCTGCTTACCCCATGGAGTTAAAGATTTTGATTCGCCATTTGTATCCTTGCTTTTATTTTATTCGAATCAGCATTATTAGCTTGCTACATTAGGATTAACATAACCCCACATTTTAATTTTAAAAAAAATGCTCAAGTTTTTAGTTTTTATTGCTTGCATTTATTGTTCATTGATCTTTCTATTGTACGTCATTTAGCTACTAGTACAGTGTATGCATAGTGGTCGACTGGTCATCTTGTCACTCATCGTTTCAATACCTAGACATGGACTCTTCACAATTTGAGGCACTCACTAGACAATTAGCTCAATTTGTCACTAGCCAGCAACACTTACAAACTCAACTAGCAGCTTTCCAAACCAAGATGACTGCTACTTGTGAGAAGAGCAAAGATCTAGTTGCTAGTCTGAACAATTTTAAGCAAATTCCTCATTCGATTGATGTTAATAATTCTAAAGTATCCCACAATAGACAATATTATCGTCAACAAGGTGATCAAAAATATTTTCAATACGATCATAAAGAGAGTTCTTTTAGAGACACTAAATTAGACACTCCTACTTTTGATGGTTGTTTAGATTTTGAAGTTCTTACTCGATGGAATGCCCTTAAACAAGGGAATCAGTTAGTGACTGAGTATTGCTCAATTTGAGAAATTTCAAATAAAGCATCATGTCATTGAGGATGAAGTCTTGACTTTGAATAGGTTTATACACGGCCGAAGAGATGAACTTAGGCGTGAGCTCTTCCTTCGAGGTGTCATGATGAGTTTGTTTCACTCATGATTTTCGCGCTATTTTAGCTTGATTAAATGCTAGATTTTATGAGTATAGAACGTTTTTGATGTGTTTGTTAGTGTTGTTTTGAAGATAAGGAGAAGCGATGTGAAACGAAGTATTAAAGTGGACGAAGAAACCAAAAATACGGAATTGGGGCAGAAAGACGATGCTTAGGCACTGCACTCATAGCGCCTAAGCGCTATGAAACGGAAAAAAAGATGAAATTTGGACCCGAGAGGCAGCGCCACAACCATAGCGCCTAGGCGCTGAAGACATAGCGCCCAGGTGCTATAGCCAGCGCTTAGGCGCTGTCTTGTAGCGCCTAGGCGCTGCGATTGACGATTTAGGGCCCGTTTTTTTGGCCCTTTTTAAATCCATAAAAATCCTACTTCTACTTAAAACGGAGGGGCATCTATAAATACATCTTCCTCATACTTTTTAAGGCTTCTTGACATATTGGAGACAAAACAACAAGAACGGAGATTCAAAGGAGAAATTCAAGAAGATTAACACCACGAATTGAAGATTGGAAGCATTCATTGGAAGATGAAGGAGATCTTGGTGCAAGAATTCCACTTTTTCTTCTACATCTTTATTTCAAACTCGGTGATGTATTCTAAGACAAACTCCTTCTTTTCTTCGTGTATTAGGAGTAGCTAAATTCATTGTTAGGGAGAATAATGTAACCAATTGGGATCTTTTACATTTTCTTACTAAGACTTTCAGTTTTTAATTCTTCCATGTGTTGATTTTGATATGAGTTGAATGCATTAAATTATCCGATCAATAATTTGATGATTTTAGTGAATTCTTTACAAATAGAGATAAGAGTTTAGGATTTAGACCATGTAGTGAAATCCAATACATTGGTATAACGAGTAGAGATACCTATACCATTTATTGCGATCATAATTGAATTCCTAAAACATAGAACTCGTTTAACTAAGTTGAATTTGCATAGAGATATGAAATTTAATTAGTTGAATAGGC